CATTGGGCTGTGACCAACTGTGACTCCAGTGCTGAGAGGCACTCAAAGCCGTAACCCATCGCTTCCATCATGGTAATGAGAACGGAGCTCACGGAGATCCATATAGGGGGTCCAGCCCCATTACCCTAACCACAGCCTTGGAAGGGGATAACGGAAGGCGGCTTCAAAGTACTTTCTGAATCACCAAAGCCTGTCTGCAACCAATGCGTCGCTGATGACAGCATGTTAAACATGGAGGATAGGACCCTCCATGTCAGCCCAAACCGGAGCATCGCAACGATTGCCACCCAATGGACAATACGATCAAAGCAGGATTTGGCATCATTAGAGATCCACCCAGCTGCGCGTCGTTGGAGAATCAACAAGTCCCAGACCAGACATTTGGACAGGGCCAGATCAATGGCCTGGTGACGTTTCCGAGAACCGCACTGACCGTCTGGAATCAAGGAGTGTTCCTCGGCATATCGCATGGCCGCCCGACCGGCTTTTTTGTTGTTCGCCTGTGCCTCCAAATTCATTAACTGAATAGTATGCATTTTCGACAGCCGAAGGTCGCCCGCCTTTTTCTCAATTGCAAAATTCATCAAGTTCTGCCAATTTGAGGGGACAAATCCCATTGCCAAAGGAATGTTGCGAAAAAGGGCATCATAAGAGGCAATAACTGGTAACTGGGCCGCTGCCTTGAAGTGACCGTTGTGCAGACCATGAAGTTCTGAGCCTTTGTCCTCCGGATTGCGAGACCAAAAGAACACATGATCGGAGGTAGTCACCTCAAGGTGCACAGATAAGTGATCCTTGTGAAATTGGCAATGTGAAAGAAAGGCCGTAGTGGCGGGGTCGAGAAGGGCAGGTAGGAAGTAGCGGCCTTCCAATAGTGCAATGGAATTAGATTCAGCCTGATCGCCGGTGAATGCTGTATACAAGGGTTCCGCCATAGGTGGAGTTGTATATGGAGCCCGCGTCTGGTTGTACCGTGCCGCGTTTTCTTGCATACAACCTTCTTCAACCAGAGCACGGTCAGTGATAGTATGCAGTCGTGTAGTGCCATAGAAAAAATTATTGCAGAAACGAAACAACACGCATTCCGGCAGAACCAACCAGTCTGCCTTGCGTAGCGCTAGTACTGAATTTACGTAGAAAACTTTCGAATTTATCACCAAGCCAACCATTCAACACCGGCGCACCATGG